TTCTGGTTTGCTTCTTTAAGATTTATATCATTTTAATATATAATCGGGTTGTTCCCTGTCAATGTTTCGATTTAGATTCTTTTTCCTTCCCTCAGTTATTTTGTTCTTCTCTGTAGGTGGCACTGCACCTGCCCGCCTGGGATGTCTGCAGGCAGAGCTCTGGGTACAGCCACACCCACCTTGTCTCACCCTCAGATCCCATCAATCTATTACAAAATTAGTGAGGTTTTCCGCATAGGGAGGCTTCCCCACAAGTCTGGTTTCTCACTCTGCCTTTTGAGGGGCGTCCCCTGGAAACTTTTTTTTTTTTTAACTGTTAAACTGGCTCTATTAGGAATCTCTTCTTAGTATTCATACCCTTATCATTTTCTGTGAGCTCATTTAGGCGCTTGTCTGTCTCCCCGACCTAATAAGCACTATTGGAGCGGCCTGGGGCTTTGGCCATGCTCTCCCCATTAGACATCCATCCTTCCTTCCTTCCAGCCGTGATCCGAGGTGTCACCACCAAAGAGCTGTATCCAGAATTTGGTCTGGAAGTGAATGACCGAGCAGAGGCTCTCGGCCCCTTGTCCACGGCCCACAGGGACAGGCAGATATGGACATGAGAAGTGGTAAGAGCCCAGCCAGTGAGAAAATTCCAGAAACCCTTTTCTAGAGAGTCCAAGCTGAATGAGGAGGGAGCCTAGAAGAGAGGGGCCAGGTTCCTGAAATGTCCCAGTGATACCCATGCACAGGGGTGTGTATCCTATTTGTCAGCAAACATGTCAGCAATCTTGGTGTGAGTCTGTGTGCTGATTCCCTCCCCTCTGATAGCCCCTGAGCACACCCGGGAGAAAGAGCCTGCCCTGGATTGGACAGACTCACATGTGCCGGGCACTGTGCTAAGTGCCTTACGTCTGTCATCTCTGATGCCTAAAAACCATCCTAGAAGGAATTAGTATTACTGTCCCCATCTTACAGACGAAGATACTGAGGCTCAGAGAGGCAAAGTGACTTGCCCGAGGTCACACAGCCAGTGAGTGGCAGAGCAGGGGTCTGAACTCGAGTCTGACTCTGAAGCGTGTGTTTGCAAAGCTGCCTTTCTGGGTGGAGAAGCAGGTAAGAGCCGAGAGTGAGCAATGGTGACATTGGGAGAGTCCCTCCCTTGCCAGTCGCTGTGTGGAACCCACTTACAATTCTC